TTTATTGTAAAGAAGAGATAGAAACAAAGTTCCACCCAATATAATAAATCAAAAAGCTTAGGCTAATGACAATGCGACCCACTCACAACCCGACAAGCCCGTGACTGGTTTACGTTGCAAAGCCTATGCGATGCATTGTCTTTTTTTATGGCATAAGCCGGTAAACGAGCAGACGGATCACCTGATGGTAAGCAATAATCGGCGGCGCCCATGGACACCTGGAACACCAGAAGCGTTACAAGTGCGTTACCGGCATTTTGGGGATTAGGAGTTTGAGGATCGTTGGGGATTCAGGAATTGGGGAGATTGGGGAAGGGGAGGGTAATTGGGCCTCCGGTAACCTCACTCACACGACGAAACACAATGCAAGCGTTGCTTCACGTCGGTTTTCTGTGAGGCCGTGGTATCACTCCGGTCGAGCTGGCCCATTCGTGCCGAAGCATGGCTCTTCTACACTTGTCGTCGCTACAATGTGAAGTGCTTCATGAAATCTAAAATTAATCAATGTTTTTCTTCACAGAAATGTTACCAAGCAAGCTAAGAATGGTCAGGAGTACCAACAGAACTCAATCGACGTAAATCTGACACAAGAGCCCGCCATTAAAAATATAACCTAAAAATTTAACAAACTATTGTATAATGTAAAAATAAATCGCTATTTTGGACGAAATAATGTACTGTTTTTGTATTAAATACGTATTTAGATAATATAATTTAGTATTGTAAGAATAAATGAGTTTAATGTAATTTTAATTGTGTTTTTATTTTGAAAAAGATAGATACCCTATTCACTGCGAATTCTGCAAAACCAAATAGGTACAATTCAAGACAGAAAATGGTTCTGTATCGGTAATACAATAGTTTTACAAAGAAATAAAATGTTTAAAACAAAAAATAACTAGTGAACCATTGCAAAAAGCAAACTTCGTAAGCGCATACGAACTCATAGTACCTACATTATCAATACATCACGCCATGTGATTCTGGAAGCCGTATTTCTCGTCGGGTGGCACGTGCGATGCGAATAGTGCCTAGCACATAAATATTAAAAAAAATATATCTATGGTGTCTGTATAAGGTGAAGTATCACCTCTCGTGTTCCATGTCCTAGAAAAGATTTTAAACAATTTTATTTATTGACAAAAAAATGACATCTTTATTTTTTTTGTTTTTACTTTATACATCGAAAGTACTCCTTATGGCAAGTTGTTCTGCCGCGGGACGAAAACGAAATATATTTCACGGCGTATACGTGAATCACATCTCATCTTCAAAAATCACATCATCGGTGACTTTATGGATGACTAAGGATTCTTCCCCTAAAAAAAGATTGACACTCGAATTTTGAGCTTACAGGGAATTGTGGTCAATGTTCAACTAGCCACTTTCGGACCAGAGACCTTAGGGCTATTTTTTTATGAAATTAGCCTCCCTGAAGAATATGTCGAGTTACAAGTCACTCTGTATAAATTTATACATTTAAAACTATAAAACTCAAAAATACTTCACAAAAAAGATAAAAAAAAACTAAGAACTAGATATTTACAAAGAGCGTCACTAAATTCGTCGGCATCACTGTCAATAGGGAACGTACCCAGAAGGCTGGAAGCATTGCCACGTTGTATGGCAAATGGCAATGCTTAACCTCTACCCGAGGTACAGATTAGCCGAGCTCTCTGATTACGAGATATGTCTACCAGGCGTTTTAAAATATTCTTATTTTTTATACTTGATAGGTTGACTTTGGGTGACCATCTCGCCTGGTGGTAAGCAATGATGTGGCCGACGATGGAGCATGCCTACCAAGGGGAAAATCATCGCATGACTTCTTTAGCGTGGCTGAGGCGAAAGGGAGTGTTTACTGACTAAAAACCCCCGTTCCTGCTTCTGGACTTCAAGCTGGAGCCACGGTAACCTGTTTAGTCATCGGCAGCACACCTGTCTGAGCCTGAAGGTTAATTAAACTGTCAAACACCAAGCGGTCACCGGTGACCGCAACCTATTGTTCTATAATTGTGTCTACAAAACCGGTACTCGACGAGTTAAAATGGGTTTTCGAACTTATCTGTACCAGTATTAAGTGTGGGAGAGCCATGCTGATACCATGGCTGAGCAGGAAACCATAGAAACAACGTTAGCGTTGTGTTTTGTCGTGTGAGTGGAGTTACCGGAGTCCCAATCATCCCCCTCCCCAAACTCACTAAACACTGAATCTCCATCAATCCTCAAATTCCTAAACCCGAAAAGGCCGGTAACGCGCTTGTAACGCCTTTAGTGTCCCAGAATATGTCCATGGGCGACGCCAATTGCTTTACTATCTGGTGTCGATGTATCCCATTAAAAAAACAGCATTGAACTAGGTATATCATCATAGGGGGTAGGCAGAGGTGTACATTATGCCACTGTACAATGTAACTCCCACTTTTCACTATTTATGTTATGAGTCCCATGTAATAGGGGATGAGCCTATTGCCATATACCGGGCACAGTTCCAGACTCCGTGCTACTACTGGGAATTTTTTGAAAAACCCAGTAATACTTTTGCCCGACCTGGGAATCGAACCCGAGACCCCTTGCCCGGCAGTCACACTTGCGACCACTCGGCCAATGAGGCAGTCACTCACTATGCTGCGCCACGTCGTCGCGACCGCGCACACTGCTCACGAGGAAGAGCCCCTCTGTGGTTCGAAACTAGTAGAGCTTTTCTCAGTATATTCACGTGAGTAACCCGCGATTTTAGTTAATATATGTACTTTTGGCTTTTTCACAGTTAAAAGACTGGAACACCCTTTTCTTTTGTTCGACCCAAGCGTCGAATATAATCTACCTACACGTGGTTTCACCATCAACCTTTTTTAAATTATAAAAGTTGAACTAAATATCCAATATGCAGCAAACAGATTAAATAATAAAAAAAACAAATTTGATATAAATACATCAATAAAAATATTATTGAATAACATTAAAAAAGAAATATGTTTCTCAATACGAGGACTAGCATTGTAAAATGTATTTCTTATATTATTTTATCGCATGTAAGTACTTAAAAACTAATTAAAATCTAATCCTTGAAATATACAAATAACTACGTGTGGCGCCTGGACAGTCACCGCTACCATCAGTTGACTGGACAATCTCTTTACATGAGCTGCTGTTTACATGTGAACATTAGCTCATGACGATACCTAAGTACGTGTGTCGCCTGGACAGTCACCGCTACCATCAGTTGACTGGACAATCTCTTTACATGAGCTGCTGTTTACATGTGAACATTAGCTCATGACGATACCTAAGTACGTGTGTCGCCTGGACAGTCACCGCTACCATCAGTTGACTGGACAATCTCTTTACATGAGCTGCTGTTTACATGTGAACATTAGCTCATGACGATACCTAAGTACGTGTGTCGCCTGGACAGTCACCGCTACCATCAGTTGACTGGACAATCTCTTTACATGAGCTGCTGTTTACATGTGAACATTAGCTCATGACGATACCTAAGTACGTGTGTCGCCTGGACAGTCACCGCTACCATCAGTTGACTGGACAATCTCTTTACATGAGCTGCTGTTTACATGTGAACATTAGCTCATGACGATACCTAAGTACGTGTGTCGCCTGGACAGTCACCGCTCCCATCAGTTGACTGGACAATATCCACACTACATGAGCTACTCATGATACTTACGTTTCAAATTGTAAGTAGGATCCTAATATCTCAGGATATTTATTAAATGGAGCAAACTATTTCATTCAATTCCAGGTTATTCATCAATATTGATAGCTACAGTATCCAGCTACGTGGTACTGGTGGGTAACCTCCATGATTTTAAAACTATAATAAAGAAAATAGGATCAGAAAATCTGGCCACTCAAATCGAAGATATGGTTGAAGGTAGATATAATGCTAGAAAATTACAAAAAACTAAAGAACAGAACGATGAGATAAATGAATATTCAGATGAGAATGCAAGAAGTCAGCAAGACACTTTTTATGAGATCACAACCCCTACTGTTAAACTATATAGGAAATACGCAATGACTGATGAACTCCAGAGTAACGAGAGAGAGAAGGTATCACATGGTCGTTCATCTCGACTGTCTGAACTTACAGTAGATGATATAGTAATGAAAGTGAAACAAAAGCTACATCAAGAACTACTGAGCAATGGTGGTAAAGCCAAAGTTAAATCGCAAAGGGAGAGAATACCATTGGGTGCAAATAAATCCGTACGTAAAAAGCATAAGAAATCAGCTCAACTGCCTTCACCTACTAATTTTGAGCAGAACCTCCAAGCTTATGATATAAATCCTCCAGATAAGGGTGTCAAAGAAGCTCAGTTTGATGACGATCAAGTTCCAGAAGGTTCTCCACCGCAAGTTGTGCAAAAACCGGTAAAAACCAAAATGAAACATGGATCGAAAGTGTCTTCATCAAACGCTCAAAAACAGGGTAGGATTAAAAAGAAAAAAAGAGTTCAACATGTTAAAGATTCAGATAATCAAGTACAGAGAGATTTGCCCAAAAAATTGAGAAAAACAAAGAAGGAAGCTGGAAAGAAAATTCGTAAAACAACGCCTATGACCACTTTGGAAGCACCACAAGTTGATAATGAGGCTGTAGCTGCCAATTTGGAGAGTATACCAAGCCCGAATCACGGCGACCAAGATATTTTCGAAGCAGTGAATCTACAAAAATCACATGACAGCTATGAAGATTACGTAACTCCTGCAAAAGAGGATATGTTTGAGAGTGAAGAGGCCACAACTTCATTTTCACCATTTACCATCAATCTAAACCCCAAAACGTCAACAGCTCCTACAGCAGTAATGGAAGCTTTAGCAGAAGACATTGAAGAAACGGCTAAAGATGGCGTTGTAGAATATGAGGTTGAATCACCCAAAGCGCAAACAGAAAGTGTTTCTTATGAAGAAAAAGAAACTATAAGCGATTCGAATGTGACATCAACAGATCCACCTAAGGTTGTCTCGAAGAAACCTAAATTAGGTACGATGATACCTACTAGAGAATTTTATAAGTTAAGTAGTCCTAATTACTATGGAAAACTACCAACTGTTGCTGAAAAATATAATTTTGATGAACCTATACCGGAGGCAGATAGGGAACATGAAGATTTGAAGCCTATAGCAAACCCACCATCTAGTGTTAATGGAAAAGTAAAGTTGTCCTAAGTTATTAAAGTTTTTTTTAATCATCATCATCATCAACAGCCTATAAATGTCCACTGCTGAGCAAAGCCTCTTCCCATAAAGCAGGTTTGAGCATTAAGCACCACGCTTGCTCAATGCGGGTTGGCGATTTCAAACTTAAAACTAGAAATTATAAGCTCAGGTTTCCTCACGATGTTTTCCTTCACTGTTTGTCAGTGGTGTCTAGATAATCTAAGAAAGTACATATAGCTCGGAAAAATTCACATTGATACTTGCTGTGGGTAGGTTTCGATGAGAAGGTAGTGTCTTAAACCTCCGGACCGACATAAGTCCTGGTGGCCGATTAGTTCAACAGATTAAAAATTAAACAAAGTAAATTAAAACTATATCATTATAATTATATAAAAATCTTAATTACTTAATCAAATAAATTATTACAATTACCTATGAAAGTTATCCTGCTATGTTTGGATGCAAAGAGCTGAAGATCGAGCTCAGTGGCCGAAAAAAACGAAATTATGTTTTTTTTTATATTTGATGGGCCCCCATAAGCAACCTATTCACTCGAATGATGATGATATTCAGGTTTGTCTGTTGTGTGGGTGTACAGCCATGGTGGAGGAAGGAAGCATGGAAGTGACCAGTGAATATCTGGTTAAGTAATTTGTTTAAGGGCTGATGTTTCTAACGCCAGGTTTGATTTGGTCGGGGGAGTAATTTTAAATATTCTACAATTCTTCCGTAATTCCATGTGTCCATGGGCGGTTTACCGGTTTATGCCATAAAAAAAAGATACGAAATCAGACTTTTCGTCACAGTCTTCTTCGTCCTGTATTGGTATCCTCATCATTCAGGGATTGGGGAGATTGAGGAAGGGGAGGGTAATTGGTCCTCCGGTTACCTCACTCACACGACGAAACATGACAAGCGTTGCTTCACATCGGTTTTCTGTGAGGCCGTGGTATCACTCCGGTCGAGCCGGCCCATTCGTGCCGAAGCATGGCTCTCTCACACTTAAAATAAATCTATAGAATATATCTCCGAATTGATTTGGCGTTGATGTTATTTTGAGAATACTAGTTCAAATATTAAAATTAAATGCCTTTGTCTTCTTCTTTGGATATTATGCTGTGTTCTGTCCTCGTTGTTGTTACTGAAAGTGTAAAAATATATTTTGTAACGTTTACTGTTCTTTTAAAGTCGTTGTTGTAGGTGGCGCTCTGTAGTTTCTGTATACCATCAGATGTATGAATGTGATGGAAGCTAAAGAAGTTTGTAAGGAGCGTAGTAGGTGGCGCTCTGCAGTTTCTGTATACCATCAGATGTATGAATGTGATGGAAGCTAAAGAAGTATGTAAGGAGCGTAGTAGGTGGCGCTCTGTAGTTTCTGTATACCATCAGATGTATGAATGTGATGGAAGCTAAAGAAGTATGTAAGGAGCGTAGTAGGTGGCGCTCTGTAGTTTCTGTATACCATCAGATGTATGAATGTGATGGAAGCTAAAGAAGTATGTAAGGAGCGTAGTAGGTGGCGCTCTGTAGTTTCTGTATACCATCAGATGTATGAATGTGATGGAAGCTAAAGAAGTATGTAAGGAGCGTAGTAGGTGGCGCTCTGTAGTTTCTGTATACCATCAGATGTATGAATGTGATGGAAGCTAAAGAAGTATGTAAGGAGCGTAGTAGGTGGCGCTCTGTAGTTTCTGTATACCATCAGATGTATGAATGTGATGGAAGCTAAAGAAGTATGTAAGGAGCGTAGTAGGTGGCGCTCTGTAGTTTCTGTATACCATCAGATGTATGAATGTGATGAAAGCTAAAGAAGTTTTTAAGGAGCGTAGTAGGTGGCGCTCTGCAGTTTCTGTATACCATCAGATGTATGAATGTGATGGAAGCTAAAGAAGTATGTAAGGAGCGTAGTAGGTGGCGCTCTGTAGTTTCTGTATACCATCAGATGTATGAATGTGATGTAAGCTAAAGAAGTATGTAAGGAGCATAGTAGGTGAATGGCGTTCTGTAGTTTCTCTCTGCCGTGGGACAAAGGCGTAAGATTATTTATGATTCTCACTATCATCTTCGGATATCTGTAAGCAGGGTGGTCGGTAAATCCTGGATTGTTGGAGAAATCCGGCATGATCTGACATATCTATTCTCCAGTTAGCAAATAGTCCTTTGAGACCGTATTTTAAGCCTCTGAAGTCATGTGTTCCATCTGAAAGTGACAAAACACTACTTAATATTGAAAAACTATTTCAATTAACATAACATAACGCCTTTTATCCCGGAGACGCGAAATGCACATTCTTTTTAAGGCAGGATAATCATTGAATTGCTTCTCCCGCCTGAGCAAGGCGGGAGGGCTAAAAACTACCCCGTTCCTACTCCTGCCCTTTGAGCCGGAGCCCCGATAACCCGTTAGGCCTTCTGCGGTTTCGTATTCGATTTTCCCCCCTCAAAAAAACCTTCTCCCCATGATTTCCAGATAGGGAGATGGAAGCAAGCTACATCTAGCGGCTTTCAGTGACTTCTATTAGGTCGTCTGCGATAAATTGGACACTTACTCTTAATTATGATGTGAAGAACTTTCCGAATCGCCGAGACGTCCCACTGGAATATTTTTAACTGTATCTTACTTATTTTGTACAGTATCGACTGTATGTCACTGGCGGTGGAACCGGTTGCGTCGAAGCTTAATAGGTGGGACAATCTGAAAATTTGAATTCCATGAATATCACCAATTTTTCATATTAGTCATTTCTAGTCTTTTGAGGAAATCAAATCAAAAAGTTCAATTTTAAAGGCAGTTTTGAACGTCAACAAAAAATTAAAAGTGAAGCTATTTGCTCAATCCAAGGTGTAGATACCTATGGAGAAGAACGAGCAAGAAATTCCATAGGTTACTGTTTTAAAATCAGGTTCACAATACAATTTTTGGTTACATAGTTTTGTTGGTTGAATTTGTGTGAGAACGATAACATAACATAACGCCTTTTTATCTCCGAAGCTTATAATGCCACTGTACAATATAACACCCACTTTTCACTTTTTATTTTATGAGTCCCATGTAATAAGGGGTGAGCCTATTGCCATAATATACTAGGGACTACGTTTACAAGTGCAAACCTCTGGATCTTCTTTAAATAATGGATGGTTTTCCATAATCTAAATCCGCTTGGCAGAACGCAGTTTAAATCTAGGGTAAGTCAAGAGTAAGTTTTGAAATCAATCTCAATGTCGATGCAATTTCAATCCAATAAATATAGAGGTACTATTCAATGTCAAAACAATATGGTTGTATACAATCCACCCCTATTCCCTACCCCCAATGTACACCTACCTTAGCTGTTAAAATACCATTCAGAGTACGGAATATAAAGCTAAACTCAATACCGTTTAGTTCATTCAATATCCACGCAATACGGAGACAATGGGCGCTAGTGTTGCAACTCAAGAGTATGACACAATATCAATGTCGATCGATTGGAATTGGATTCAAGATTGAGCTCCCTGATTTGGACTGGTGGGTATTAGAGAGCACCGCTGCTTGGTTTCTTATTCAATTCAACGCGAAGAGTTTGACAAAACTAATAGCAATTAATATACCTACTTCCTTACGTCACGACTAGACGCATCAATCCTTCTAACCATCGTCGAGTTATCGTCAAAACCATTCAAATACGGCGTGATAACATCGAAACAATGCGTCCATTTCTGCGGTTTACTCCGCTCATCATTATCAAACGTCATTTTTCTATAAAAGATGTCTAGAGGGCGCTGTACGTCTGACGTATGACCGCGCTTGGCATGCGTGCGTAGTGGCTTCGGTTTACTCTTTGGTATTTCATCAACGTGTTCAGATTCGCTGGCTATAAATTTCTCTGTCGTTGTACTTTTCAGTTCTGGCAATTTAAATTTATCTTGCAATTTTCTTTTGTCGTATGAGTTTATTGGTGTAATTGGTTGATTTGAATTGTCTACGTACTCATACATGTCAACGTAGTTATCATAGTTTCCTTGGATACCTTGATTTGGTCCTTGTATTTCTTCAATTATTTCCCGCTTGAGCAGATCTATTCTCGTCTCTATACCTACTGTGACTTCTGTTGTTTTTGCTCTTGTTACATGGGTTTTGATTGCTGAAATTGGACAAACAGACAAATAAGCTATTTATTTTTACAATGATTCTTTTATGAACTATGACTATGACTGCCTCATTGTTCGAGTGGTCGCAAGTGCGACTGCCGGGCAAGGGGTCTCGGGTTCGATTCCTGGGTCAGGCAAAGTATTACTGGGTTTTTAAAAAAATTCCCAGTAGTAGCACGGAGTCTGGAACTGTGCCCGGTATATGGCAATAGGCTCATCTCCTATTATATGGGACTCATAACATAAATAGCGAAAAGTGGGTGTTACATTGTATAGTGGCCTAATGTACACCTCTGCCTACCCCTTCGGGGATAAAAGGCGTGATGTTATGTCTTTTATGAACTACGTTTAAAAAACGACTTCAGGCTACTCTTTTTTGGGAGCTGGTTAATTAAACTGTCAAACACCAAGCGGTCACCGGTGACCGCAACCTATTGTTCTATAATTGTGTCTACAAAACCGGTACTCGACGAGTTAATATACCATCTTTTCCTGAGAGTAATAAACACTTCTGAAGATCGTTTGGCCAATCGCAAGACCGTCGTGCACACAAACATACATACATACATTCAGGTCAAACTATGAACCTCCATTTCTGAAGTCGATTGAAAGTCGTTGTCACACTAGGACACAGTTTCTCCTGTATCGTTGATGCGTTTACAAACAACAATTTCACATATATGTAGGATTGTACCTTACACGTAGTATTTTATAGCATGAGTGTGAGAGAGAGAACATAATTATGTGTAAAAGGGAGAACGGATGGAGAGGATTTTGAAAAAGGAAAAGGAAGATGGCGTAGCGTGGGATACGATGGTGTGTGCTCTGTGCTCTGGGTAATTGAAAAATATAATATATTGATATACATATAACTGAATTTTCTTCACTTTTTTATATGGAATAGGAGGCAAACGAGCAGACGGATCACCTGATGGTAAGCGATCAGCGTCGCATATGGACACCCGCAACACCAGAGGAGTCACAGGTGCGTTGTCGGCCTTTTAAAAAGGAGTACGCTCTTTTCTTAAGGGTTTGAAGGGGGTATCGGTTCGAAAATACCACTGACGACAGATCTTTACTATTTACAGAGTTTTACTGCGCATCAAAATTTTAAATTCTCAACATCTTCTTTGTTTCTTTTTCCTGTATCTTCTAAGCAATAACAGAAGTGCACACTTCTTTTTACGATCCATGTCACGACCTAGTTTTCAATTTAAAATACGTTTAGTACGGTTGAAGGTCGTCGATGGAATGATCACCCTGGGAGACGCCTTGTCGCACGGCATAGCTTCGCAACAATTCGCGTCGTAATTTATAGCGTTGCGAATTCGCTTCGCATCGCATCGCAGTTCTGTGTACGAGCCCTAATTAGGTCCAAGATTATGTTATGAACTGTACTCACATAAAATCAATAGAAATAATCCAACAATCTTCATGTTTCTCTTAATTTTAACTAAATTTCTTTAAAATTATTTCAGTACCATAGGTATAGTTCATTAGTTAAATATTTTAGTGATAAAAAGGAATATAAAAATAACGTCTTCATAAATTGTATGTCAAAAACGTATCATTATGGGAATAGATGACGATTTTGCGTCGATACACTTCTCAAAACAAAATAATTAATTCATTTCAAGCGTAAAATAACATTCAACAAATGTTTAATCTAATATAATTAAAGGCTACCGGCTACGGACGCCACGGGCGACGCTGATCGCTTACCATCAAATGATCCGTCTGCTTCTTTATATATAATGCCTTCTTCACATAGAAATGTTATGTCAAATGCTTGGAATAGGACACGATGGTAATGGCGATAATGTATTTGCATGGACCCGTGTGTCGTGGTGTGTTACAATTCTATCGGTTTACGATTTAATGCCCAATGACTTACCAAACTCTTAGATTGAACATCTAAATTGTAAATTGGGTACTTTCCTTAGCCAAAAATAAATTATTTCGACTGTTCGATACAATAAAATATTAAAAAATAATCACACTTTCATAAATTGATTTTATGTCCAACTTAATTTTAGTATTTTTCCAGCAAAATTTTAAGAAATAAGTAGGTATGCTGTTTGTCGCTAAAAAAACGTGACGTCACAATTCACAATCCCGTACAAAATTCATAGAGAACTGTCGTTTTTGACAGTTCGAAAAAAGTATTGAATTTGACTAGTTGGCAAGTACCGTATTAACTTAATACAATACTGCCGTATTATGTATTACCTGAGACATACTAGATTAATTATTCTGGTTTTCGGCTCACTCTCATAATTATTATTTGACAAGTAACTCGACTAGGTTCAAGCCATGTCAGAGCACCACTTGCTTGTGGAATGTATCAGGACGAGGGCTGGGAGAGAGGAATTGAAACATACGTTTAGGATTATTTTTTTAGTATTTAGCCGTTTTCATAGTGTATTGGCACAGCCTTTATCCAAAGCAGCTACCTTGATATATACAATAGTAAATAAGAGTAATATTTAAGTTAATTTTATATTATACTTTACTGGGATTTTTCAAAAATCTCAGTGGTAGCACGGAGTCTGGAATTGTGCCCGGTATATGGCAATAGGCTCACCCCCTATTACATGGGACTCATGACATAAATAGTGAAAAATGGGTGTTACATTGTACAGTGGCATTAAGTGCCGTAATGTGCACCTCTGCCTACCCCTTCGGGGATAAAAAGGCGTGATGTTATATGTTATGTATGTCGGAGAAACATTGTCATCGCCGACATCGTCATTAGTGATTGCGGGCTTAGTGGGCGTCATGAGGGTAAAATGCGAGCACAAAACACAACGATCACTATAAACACTATTTTAATTTAGATAGTAACAATAGTTTTATCTGTTTCACAATAACGTAAAAGAAAAGTTAATAATTAGGACTGAGCAGCGGGTTCAGGGCACCGATCTTACAGTAAAATTACATAAACGATCCACCTCGACCGATGGCTAATTCATGCTCTCCCGCCAAAACTATCTTTCTTTTTATCAGTAAGATGGCGCCTCGACCCCGCTCAAGGCGCGCGCTCTGCTCTGATTGGTCGTTACTTAGGAAGTCAAATTCAAATTATCAATAATTCTAATAAATCAAATTAAGAATTTTAAGTGTGACAAAACAATTGAAATTAATTTAGGCATTTTAAAAAGTGAATATAAAACAAATAAAAATTAATGTGCGTTATGCAATGCAAGTAACAATTAACTCCCAGCTTCCTCCGACATGTATATGTATTTAAGTTAATGTAAGTTTTGTTTAATATGTTTAGGAAATGATGGGTCTGACATAATCTTTGTGTGACCAAAATCCATAAATTAATAAAGATAATAAAAAAGCCAAACTAGAGGCTGATATCCATGAGCAGCAATACCCGACCCGCGACACAGTAATTGTCGCGCTACTCTACAGCAACTAGCAGCGCGATGTCTTTATTTATTCAACAATTATGGAAGACTAATAGCTAAACGAATTGAAAATATTGAAAAATATGTATGCCAGTCAATATCAAGGCTTCAGTTAAAAAAAACAAACTTAACTATAAAAGAATGTGGTCACCATAAAAACGAATACATATTGTATGTAAAAAGAAACCAAAAACAACAAAATACAATAAAAACATCTGCACACTGGCCAGATAAATTATTTCACATAAAATTAGTTCAATCGCTGGTAAATGTTCCGTAGTATAGTTTCTTGGATTGATTAAATTGGTCACAATATTGTGCCTTGGGGAACACCCTTAAATACTTTAATATTTAATTACCAGTTCTAATAAAATCGAGGTTAATCTCTGTGACCTATCAATATTATTTGCCAGAGGCTCAAATATCCCCATCCCCTTCCCCAGCGTCCTCTATCCCTGAATCCCCAACAATTCTTAAATTCCTAATCCTCAAAAGGCCGGTAACGCACGTGTAGCGCTTCTAGTGTTCCGGATGCCCATGGACGACGCCGATTGCTTACCGTATAAACATATTTTGTTTTTATACGATAATCGTATAAAAACAAATGAAAAATATGCACAAATTATTATAAACATGATGTTTAACTTAGGGTTTGATTAATAACTATGTTGGTACTGTGATATTGATGACGAACTTACTACAACGCCTTAGACAAATCATAAATCACCTATGTTGTGGCGAAAAATAGTCCGATTATTTCATCGTTTGGAAGGATCATTCCTTAATGTCGTGGGGCCCGGAACCTTTAGACCCCGCTTCTCATGCATGAGGGTGCCGGTTCGAAACCTACCAACGGCAAGTACCAATGTGACTTTGTCCGAGTTATATGTACTTTCTAAGATTACTTAGGCACTCTGACAAACGGAGAAGGAAAATATCGTGAGAGAAACCTGGCCTTATAATTTCTAATTATAAGTTTGTAATAGGCAACCCGCATTAAACAAGCGTGGTGATTAATGCTCAAACCTTGTCTGTGTGAGAAGAGACTTAGCTCAGCAGTGGGCATTTATAGGCTGTTGATGATGATGATGAAGGATCATTCCTTTCCTAAAGTACTCGCTAATTTAGATATTTGAAATCAAATAAATACATTGCATAAATCCATACATCGCGGTACTAAAATTTATTCGAAATCGGTTTTGTAGTTCCCCAGTGAAATTGTGCCAAGACATGAATATTTTTTTTATGGCATAAGCCGGTAAACGAGCAGACGTATCACCCGATGGATGGTAAGCAATCGGCATCGTCCATGAACACCTGGAATACCAGCGTTACAAGTGGCGTTACCAGCCTTTTGGGGATTAGGAGTTTGAGGATCGTTGGGGATTCAGGGATTGGGGAGACTGGGGAAGGGGAGGGTAATTGGGCCTCCGATAACCTCACTCACACGACGAAACACAACGCCGGCGTTGCTTCACGTCGGTTTTCTGTGAGGCCGTGGTATCACTTCGGTCGAGCCGGCCCATTCGTGCCGAAACATATTTAAGTGTGGGAACACTTAAATATGTTTCAAATTGTGAAGGGCTATCGTGTCGTTTTTTCAATAAACGTTTATCAATGTTTATTTTGTAATGGCCAAATAAATTTAATTATCTTATCTTGAATTTTTTCCTACTTTCATTACGCTTTCGCTGTTATAATGAAAAATAATCCAAGTCAAGCTTCGCTGGTTTCTTTCTTTAAATCAAAAAAATATGTGACTAAGTTTTAATTTCTAATGTTTTAGCTATATATAGTTATACAAAAGATTTATTATTATACCTAGTTTAATATTAAAATTATACAAATTTGTAATGTTTAGTACAATGCTTGTTAGATGTGTGTGTTTATTAACTATTTTAGGTAAAGTCTTTTCTAGATTTTTTGTTATTACTTAGTGGTCAAATGTTACTATAGCAACGGCAATCGTTTCGTTTCTTCTTTTGTGCCTGTAGGCTTAATTCATTCTGTCTCCTGCGGGAATTCACCGAGGGAAGTGGAAACTATTGTTTTTTCTTCTCTTCTTATAATATCATCAGATTCATTTCGTTGCAGGAACTAAGACAGTTATTTATGTCCCTGGGACGCGCCGGTCTTCATTGTTCCGGTGTTTTCATGGTTGCATTTACTGTAGATCCTGGCTCACAGAAGTTGCAGCGATTTTTAGAGGCAGTGGCAGACTAGTCCCAAAAAAGAAAAAAATATATGCTTCTTTATTCGACAAACGCCATTGCGATACTACTTAGTTTATTTTAAAATATTTTTTGTACCTCATCATCAATATTATCCCCACTCTTCCAGCTTTATCGACAGTAAAATGTAACAACATAGAAAAGCGAATAGCCGGTCTCAAACAGCGACTCAGACAAGAAATAGAAGAAGATCAGAGAACAACTGACTCCAAGGAACCTGGAGCCACAACCAAGCCTTTCAAACTACACGACTATTATGACCTTGTAGTCCCAATATCAGACAAATCCCTTATAAAACCAATTATGGAAAATTACATTAAACCTAATAATCATAATATTGTCAAAGGAAATCTGAGTACAATTCATGACTTAGAATTGCCAAAGCGTCAACAGAACAGCCCAAAAAAGAAAAAACTTGAAAGACTTCCCATCAACCAGGTACATAACAAGAACCGTGTGACTCCAGCCAATATATTCCATCGACGGTTCTATTTGGACGAGGAAGAAAGAAACAAACCACAAAAATGGACGCATTGTTTGGATCTAATCACACCAAGATTAAAAGGCTACAAAGATGACTGGGCACCTAAACAAGTCACGCATAACGACGGAGATGTACGCAGGTAAACAGCAGCTCAT